ATGCTAAAAATCTCTTCTGAAAACAGCAATCCAGGTAACACTTGTGATAGTGAGTTACTTTAGGTCAGTTGTCCGCAATCTTTTTGGTACCAGGGACCGGTTTTGTGGAAGACAGTCTTTCTATGGGCTAGGGGAAGGTGGGGATAGTTTCAGGATTATTCAGTCATGTTATGTTTATGTGCTACTTTATTTATATTATTATTACATTGTAATATATAATGAAATAATTATACAACTTACCATCATGTAGAATCTGTGGAAGCTCTGAGCTTATTTTTCTGCAACTAGATAGTCTCGTCTGGGGGCAACATGAGACAGTGACAGATCATCAGGCATTAGATTCTCATATGAAGCACACAACCTAGATCCCTCGGATGGGCAGTTCACAACAGGGTTCATGCTCCAGTGAGTATCTAATGCTGTCACTGATCTAGGAAGGGGCAGAGTTCAGGCAATAATATGAACCATTATTATTGGTTGGCTGTAAGTACAGGTGAAGCTTCCCTGGTTTGCCTGCTGCTCACCTCTTCCTGTGTGGTGTGGTTCATAATAATCCATGGACTGCTACCGGTCTGTAGCATGGGAGTTGAGGACTGCTGCTCTGGGTGGTCCTATCATAGATAAAAAAGTAAAAGTAAGGAACTTTTGATCTCAAAAGAATGCTGAAGCAAAGTTATGTTATATATGCTTGTCCCAACAAGGTCTCACTATTACTGACTTCATTCCTCCTCATTTGAAGTTGGAAAGAGACACATTTACTTTGTTGGAACAAGATGTGCTCTTCTACCTGCTGGTTAGTTGTCATGATAACAGCAATTTTGTTAGAACAAATGCTCTGCTACCATTTGCCAGAAGATTGTCATAATAAATGTACAAATTGCTCAACTCTAGGCTCAGGAGATTATAATAAAATTAGAAAAATGTTTCACAATAACAAAAATGCTAGTATGCTACCTGGTTGTGGACACCTAATACATTGTATAACCCAAACGGTATGAGGACACCTTTAATTTAGCCATCAATTTATCAAAGAACTTTTGTAAGTTGGGTTTTATAAGTTGCAGGAGATAAAGATGGAGCAGATGTAGTTTTGATCCTTAAGGTGCTCATAATAGAGCTGTCTCTATTTCATTTCTGTGCTTTTTCAATAGAATTTACAAAGAAAATATTTCCATTTATGTTTTCACTTCACTTAACAGATAACTATCGAATGTCTTTTAGATACTAACCATTTTTCTAATGCAACAGAACACAACAGAACACAATTAAAAATACAGACAGGAGCTTGTTATTATCATTGTCATTATTTTTTTATTTTACTACTTTATTCAGTTCTTACTGTGTACTAGATGCCCACTGGAAGCTTATAATTGATTATATATTGATTATGTGCCAGACATATGTGATGAGGAATGAAAGTTTTGGTAAAAAAAAAAAAAAAAAAAGTAGGTATGATTCAAGGGAAGCATGCAGAGTGAGAAGAATTTTTCTAGGTAAAGAAGCAGAAGAATAATGTTTGACAGAAGGAACATGCAACAAGATTGTGTGTTGGCCAGAAGGAACATCTAAGGAGATATGCCTGTTTGGCAGGAAGAGCAGCAAGTGCAAAAGACAAGATGCTTGAGTTAACTTTGCAGGGTTTCTGAGCACTTCACTTTTGCTAGCACCAAAAGTGTGAGATACCAGAGGTTGGGAATGAGGCGAATACTTACCTAAGGCAAGTTTATGACAGACTTTTTAATACTACAGAAATGAATAGGTTTTATCCTGTGGGCCATGGGAAGTTTACCAGGTAGAATGCTTTGGACTGCAAATACTGATGAGCAGTGGTGAAAACAGTAGGAACCAGAGTTGTTTTGTTTGTTCAGTGATATCCTAGGGATCCCTCTTGTCCCTCTTTCTGTGCTGTCGACAGTGTTTTATTCATGTCTCCTTTCCTGGTTGGGTAATCTGCAACAGCTCCAAACATCTTGTTCTCACAACACAATATCTCAAGGGCTTCTTTCCTTCACCTGTGTTTTCTAAACAGGGAGAAAACTTAGAAGCACATAAAGGGCTTCCTGTAACATTTCATTGGCTGTGTTACACTACCTGCTCATTTACAACCAGGCACTGGGAATGCAAATACGTGATTAGCTTAAATTAATGTTTCTCTTTCTGAGCTGAGAGGAGATTGGGATAATAAACATCCCAATAGACTAGTGTTCTTCTGCAAGAAAGACTAAGGAATGTATTGAAGTAGGGAGCCGACAGTATTTTGCTGCAGGGGCTCATTGGAACTGATGGAGCAAGTCACAGATTAAATTTGAGTATTAAGTCATTCTGGTTGTGGTGTAAAAATGGGTTGTAAGCTTTTCCTGTAAAGGACCAGGTGGAAATGCTTTGTAGACTGTGTGGTCTTGTCATAACTACTTGCATAACATTTTGTCTGCTGTTTGTAGTGTGGCGAAATCCTCCCATGATTCTGTGTAAGCAAACAAGCATGACTGAGCTCCTATAAAACAGCCCCACAAGCCATAAAGCGAATTTAATTTGGACTGTAGCCTATAGTTTCATGGGATTGGTGGAAGGATTACCATAGAAAAAAACAGAACAAAAGCTTACAATAATCAAGCTATAGTTTCCGTCACACATCCTTGGGACTAAGTATCAATGTATTAGTTCACCCATCCATGATGATAAATTCAGAATCTCAGTTACTCATTTTAATATATTTGGTCTTTATTTTTATGGTGTTATGCCTTTTATTTGTTTGCTTAATTTTCCGTAGAAATTCGCATTAGTAGTTGTGGTTTTTCTTTCAATAAACCATTTTACCAAATCTTTATCGTTCTTAATGGGAAGTACAAGCGAAGCGCGCGAGATATAGTTATAAAGGTATTGGTGGCAAGCACACAGGATTAAGAAATGTCAGATGATTTACAGGTTTCCAGTAAAGCCTGCCATGCTATTTAAATACTAGTAAACACTAGTATTTATGCCTGGACATGAAGGAAGTGAAATTTTCTAGAGTGAATGCAGAAACAAAAGAGCTGCCGGAGTCAGCAGGGTGACCATTTTTCCCCACTATGCATGCTTAATGGGAGAATATTCATGTATAGGATATTTGAGAGGTAATTGGATATGCTTATTTACAACTCATCCTACTAGTTTTGACTCTCATTGCTAAGACATCAAAGATCAAAGAATCAAAGTTGATGAAAATGTCCATAATATCACCATCAGTGACCAAAAGTCAGCATCCACAGAACACAGGGTGGGACAGGTGAACTGAGAAAGATAAAGATGAATATCAGGTTGTGTTCCTCTTAGGGAATGATAGTCTCCATGACCTGTGTGAGTCTCGGCTGCTTGAAAGAAAGAGGAGCAAGGGTGTATTAAAGAAGCACAACAAATTCCAGTCTAGAGTGCCCTGCTTGACTTCATGTCATAGTTCTGATTTCTTAGTCTCCATGACCTGTGTGAGTCACGGCTGCCAGAAAAGAAAGAGAGCAAGGAGTGTATTAAAGAAGCACAGCAAATTCAGTCCTAGAGTGCCCTGCTTGACTTCATGTCATAGTTCTGATTTCTAAAATACCACTTTCTGCAAAATGTGCTTTCTGTTTTTCCCCTCTTGTAGCCTGCAACCAAACAGAATCCCTTCAGTGGGGCATTTTTGTGTTCTTCCTTTAAAAACAGCAACATATAAATAACAAAAAGAAGTAAGAGACAGAGTGTTTTTTTATAGGCTAGTATTTAACGTAAACTTGAGAGTGAGTACCAAGATTATACTTAGAATTTACAGGCCGGGTAGGAAGATGAGATAGAAATCTGAAGATTACTGACTCAAACACAGTGTAGTTTCATTGCTTTATTGTCACATCTCTGAATTCACAACTGTGAATTATATTCGTATGCACTATAACTTTAGAAAGCACCTTCCCAAACCAAATATTAAGTGATTTATTATAATTTCTTTGACTTATTATAGAATTGACTTTCCAAGTGCTCATGAGAATTATTGAGAATTTGCTACATAGTAACATCTCAGTTGTCTCCACAAGAGCTATCTGTCACTTTGTCTTAATGACTATTGGCTCACTAGGAATATTGGTTTTGGCATTAAAATGATATTTATCTAAATGCAGATAGGACCAGGGATCACTCTTGAACATTAATGTCCAAGCATCTTAAAATTACACATCAGGTTTCATAATCTGACTTCTGCCCCACTCTCCATCTTTAGCCCTTTTCCCTGTGTGCTCTTTCTCTGGCATTACTGAGCTGCTGGTAATGTCCTACTCACTCATTCACTCTTTCAGGCCTCACTCCTGCTCTTGCTGCTGTGTGGAATGCTGTTACCCTTTCCTGCCCTCTACCGCTTTTAATCTGGCTAGCCTCAATATTTCAGTCTCTGCTTGGGCATGTGTTCTAGAAAAGCCATCCCTGATATGCTTTATTTTCATTGTTTTTAAACCCTAATGTCTAGCATGTATGTAGCAGGACTCAATAAGAAATTTGTGAGTAAAATAAAGACTGTTTTTACAAAGATGATGTGCAAGACTGTTCTCTGCAGTCTTGGAGCAGAGGGGACAGACATGTGGGGGAATAATGTACAGTTCAGGTGGTAAAGATGCAGTAGAAAAATCAGTGAAGTCAGAAGGCAGCCTCAAGGAAGGAGGTACCTTTTTATCTGGGGAAAGACATGCAGAATCAAGGAAGACTTCACATATCATTGTTTTAAAAGATGAAAATAAGGCCAGTTGTTGTGTCTCACAACTGTAATCCCAGCAATTTGGGGGGCTGGAGGAGGTGGATCACAAGGTCAAAAGATCAGGAACATCCTGGCCAATCATGAAACACACAGACTGGGCATGATGGTGCATGCCTGTAATCCCAGCTTCTTGGGAGACTGAGACAGGAGAATCGCTTGAACCAGGGAGTCAGAGGTTGCAGTGAGCTGAGATTGTGCCACTGCCCTCCAACCCGGTGACAGAGAAAGACCCTGGCTCAAAAAAAAAAAAAAAAAAAAAAAAGAAGAAGAAGAAGAATAAAAAAAGAAAAGAAAATAAATTTGTCAGAATAGTAGAGGGAAACATTTTAGATATTAGGAAGACCTTGTGCACTAATAAAGGTGTCAGTAGTAGTTTTGGAAATCATTTATAAGGTACTATTGTTGCAGAAAACAGGAGGCAGGAGAGACCCAGTGGGTGAAACAGGGGAATTTTATTTAGGTGCACACCAGTTCAGTGGATTTGCATCCAAATGCTGATTCCTGAACAAAGACAGAGCATGGCTTATAAAGGCAAGCTTACAGAAGCAGAACAAAGGCAGTTAATCATATAGTGACAGTTTTGCAACCTCAGCATAGCTTGTGACTTTGCAACTATATTGAAGGAAAAGAGGAACTTGCAAAATATATACATTTGTACAAATAGCTATGAGTAAATGCTGAGGGGAAGGGGAGACGGTAAAGGAATTTGTTTTCTTAACCTTGCTTTGGGATGTCTGGACCCATACCTGTGGGCTCTGGCTTCTCGGACAGGGTCAACATGACCTTACCTGGGCCCTGCCTGTTACTATCCGTAGAGTCAGAGTAGCTAAGTGCAGGAAAACTTGTTTCTCTTTAAAACTAAATTTCCTTTTCATTACATTTACTGCTTCATGATTAGGAAGTGGAGAACAACGTACTGTGTTACCTTATATGTTTCTACTGTATTTTAAAGTTGTGTTTCTGGTGGTTTTGTTCATTTATGTTGGGTGGATGAATTTGTGAGTGAATCTCATCAGGAGTCTCCCCAAGTGGTTTGTTGAAGTCTTAGAGAATGACTTCCTAAGTAACTATTTCATGAAACACTAAACACTCAAGTTATGAGATAAAATAAAATGTTGTCTTAAATCTATTTTTATAAAGGCAATACTTTTTAACTGTTCTAAGTGGTTCATTTTAACTGAATATATGGATTTCTCAACAGAACAAGACTTAAAGCTGACATCAGAGGAAGAATCACAAAGGCTTAAAGGCAGTGAAAATAGCCAGCCAGAGGCATGGAAAATTTTACATTTAAATTTTTGATTTAATGTTGTTTTCTTTGCTTTAATAATATTAGGAAGTCCAAATGAAATTACCTTTCAGACTAGGTTTTGAGAATCAATAGATTCTTTTTTCTAAGAACTTTTTAATAGATTCATAAAATTTAATAAATTCAGCAATCTCATTAACAGAAGAATCAATAGATTCTAAGTTGTTAGCATTTGAAACTTAACTTAAAAAACATAACCACTATAAACTTTAAAATACTCTGACTTTATAATATTCTTATTTACAATATTCTTATCTGCCTTTTTGATTAGCTTATAGGTAATCTTTCCTTTTGGAATAGAGGCAAAAGAAATTCCAGAACTTTGTTCTTTTATTCTTACAACACCCTGACATAATAAAGAAAGTAACATCAATTATTGGATTATATTATTAAGTAATAGAATTATGAACAATGTAAAACTGATGGTCCCTGAGCTGGATTCATGGTTGAAGAGTAATCATGGCCAGTGATTGAAAATCTGCAGTTTTATATTGCAGTCACTGATAGCAAGGTGAAAGATATATTCTGCCTTGTCTCATTGACCTCAGCGTTTCTCTTCAGGGAGGGAACCAGGTCATAAAAGCAACCCAAATGCCTATTACAAGAATCATATCTTGCAGAACGGGACCTTTGGTGTTAGTGCAGAAACACAATAACATTCGAACTTACTGCAGTTGCAGAAAATCAGTACAGATTATTAAAATTTTTATCCACTGTCATTAGTACACATTAGAATATATTAGAACTGGACTTAAGCAGATAAACTAAATACATAACACTATCATATTACAACATATAATTTCAATTAAAATTTAAGAATTTGCATTTCTTTCTGTTTGGTGTTGATTTCAGCTCCTAATAATTGAAAGCATGCCTACAATCCAGTTAGTAATCTGTAGAGGCTCACTGGTTAGGGTTTGGTGAGGTAAACTCTTTTCAAGTGAGGAAGACTTTGCAACACTACAAATCATCCGCTGATGCATTTTTGGCAGATTTAACACATAACAAATTAAGTGGAGTCCAAACAAATGGTGACAAAGTTAAGTTTGCTGGTTCATGTTTATCTTCTCCCGTTGGCTAAGGTGAATTATTTTTCCCATGTTAGTCAGAAGCCAGTGATGTGGCAGTAGCTGAATGTAGATTAAAAAGTTAATTTTTAATTTTAATTAATTATCTTAACAATTAAATTTTAATTTTAATTATTTTCTAATTTTTCATTGTCTATACTTGATTACTTAAAATAAAATTATTTTTAAAACGTGCATTCCAAAAGAGGAGACATCACAGAAATACAACAAGCAAATTAACCTTCTATTTTTGCATTTGCAGGAAATGTCTCAAAAACCAGAAATAAACAAGGATTGTGATAGAGAGGTATACCATTATATTCAAATGTTTCTGTTGAATTAGATTTTTACATTATGTTGTTTAATAAAGTGTTGTAAATGTAGGCATACATGATCCTATCATGTAAGTAGCATAAATCATCAGTGAAAAATTTAATATTTAACTTAGAAAGAATTCTGTACATTGAGTTTTAAAGAGACACAAACCCCAGAGATATTCTTTCATTATTATGGAATAATCCTGAATGGTGCCGTAAAGTGCTAGGTCATGCCACTTTAGGAGCTTTGGATCAATCATTTTATCTTTCTTGGTTTTAGTCTGATTATCAATAGATAATGTGGCTAAAGAAGATAATTTCTTATTCTGTGTATCTTCCAGCTAGAAAATTGTATGGCTATCGAACGTGAAATTTGGGGAGCATCTTATTTTCTGGGCATCCACGCTTGTACCTCAGCAGTTTCACTCTGCTCCTTGTGTTGTGGTGAACTTTGGTTCCCATGTTTCAGTGAGAACTAGCACGTTTTTGATATCCCAGGGACCAAATGAAAAAGAATGATCAAAGGCAGTGGGGGAGAAGAATATCTCAGTGCAGAAAAGGGCAATCTTCCTTTCTATTTCTGAAGCCCCACAGTGTCTCATCCTCTGAATCTGACTGCTTAATGTGAGATCTAGGTGGTAAAGACAGAAGAAGACATATTTTGCATCTTTGTCTTTTTATTTGTGTGTTCCCACGAGTCAAATGGGATAAATACATATATAAGATTCTGAGGAGTGGTTGGGAATAAAAGCACAAAATGAAGGAGGGCCCTTTTTGAATTTTGGAAAATTCTATTTTATTCAGTCAAACAGAAATGAAGCAAACTTTACAATGATATGATAATTACATCTTAAAATTAGATGGTAATTGTTCTGTATATATGATCAAACTTAAGTGTGAAATATTTTTAATGACTACAATAATGACAAACTGAGTCAATTGATAAAATCAATTAAAAAGGTTCTTTTTATTCAATAAAGTGATATCCTTAATATCAAACTTCCACTCAAGGCTAAAGAAGAAATGAAGAAGCACGGAAGTAATAATATGGGATTACCAGAAAACCTGACTAATGATGCCACTGCTGGCAATGGTGATGATGGATTAATTCCACAAAGCAAGAGCAGAACACCTGAAAGTCAGCAATTTCCTGACACTGAGAATGAAGAGTATCACAGGTAAGCCTATGGCAACATTTAATAGGAGACAGCCATATGGTGTCAAACTAATCCTAATTTGGGCTAATATTCATGATTAAAAATTTTATATTTTTCCTAGGATATTCAGCCTTACCTGGTAATCAGAAAAATGGAAATCAGCAAAAAATGAGTTAACATTTTTTTCAGTCACTAATTTATTTGAAAAATAGCGAGTATTGGCAAATGTGAGGGGAAAGGAATTTCTTTACGTTTTAGTGAACTTTTATTTTAGCTTCAGAGGTACATGTGCAGTTTGTTATATGGGTAAACTGTATCATGGAGGTTTGGGCTACAGATTATTTCATCAGCCACATAATAAGCAAAATACCCAAAAGGTAGTTTTTTGATCATCTCCCTCCAGCTATGCTCCACCCTCAAGTAGACCCTTTTGCTTGTTATTCTCCTCTTTGTGTCCATGAGTTCTCACTGTTTAGTTCCCACTAATGAGTAAGAATATGTGGCATTTGATTTTCTGTTTCTGCATTAGTTTGCTTAGAATAATGGCCGCCAGCTCCATCTGTGTTGCTGCAAAGGAAATGGTCTCATTGAAAAAGACATGTCATACACTGTTGGTAAATGCATTTTAAACATTAATTGAGTAGCATATTCACACACACATATATAACATAGTAAGACATATATGTATGTTAAGGATACTTGTATAGATTTGTTACGTATATACTTACGTATAAGAACATTTATTACAGCATCATTATATCAAAAGATGGATCCTTATCAGTAGGAATTTATCATTATTAAAAGTAAATCCTTACCAATAGGAAATAGCTCAATTTTTATTCCCAGAAAATAATGTAGTATAGAACCATTTTTTACAAATGAGGTAATATCTAGAGTATACTGATTATTTCACAATTAAAATGTATTTAAAACCTTTACTTTGATAACACATCTTAAGATAATTTTTTAAAAATTCTTGTAATATCTGCTGTGTTGCAAATGGAAGCTACATGCTCCATTGACACTGTACCTTGATTGCTAGTTATTAAATTTTTGTTGTCAGTGACTGAGTGCTGAAATATTGGATCTTCAATCTGAATATTGCCAAGGGATCGTATGGAGATCTATATTTAATATAAACATTTCAGTATATTATAAAACTTTTATTAAAATGTATCAAAGGATCTTTCATCTACTAAACCAGGATTTGGTCAGATTTTTCTGCAAAGAGTCAGTTAGTAAATATTTTAGGCTGTGCAGACTGTATATATATTTTTGAGACAGGGTCTCTGTTGCCCAGGCTGGAGTGCGGTTTTGTGATCATGGCTCACTGCAGCCTCAACTTTCTGGGCTCTAGTGATCCTCCCACCTCAGCCTCTCTGCTAGCTGGGACCACAGGTGTGCAACATCACACCCAGCTAATTGACTCTGTGAACTGTAGAGTGAATAAGCGTGGCTGGGTTCCAAGATACTTGACTTACAAAAACAGGCAGTGGGATTCGGCCCACAGGTGCTAATGTGCTGACCTTGTGCTAAAAGGAAGGTGCTGCTAATGCAATAACTCTTATTCATAAAAGTGTCCTGCATGTGTGACATTATCCTTCCTTTTAGAAAAGGATATATTTCAGTATTCACCACACCACATTTTTCCACAGTGACTTCATATAATTTTTAAATTTTCATTTATAAAATAAGACCATTTTCTGCATTTCTGCCACTTTATTCCTGTTAATAGAACTCAGTAGTTTACTGTGATCAATTACTTTGTATATTTGATGAGTATCAACTGTTCTAGAATTGGCTGATTTTTATCAAGCCAGAAATACTCTCCTTGAAACATTTAGTGTTTCTTGGTCTTTATGTATAAGCATGAACAAAGTGATATTCAGCTTATGGAATCTAGAATTGTTTAAGGTGACTTTTAGTTCTATAGTTTTAAGAATTTAACACCTCAGTCTGGAATTTTTAATTCCACATGTGTATAATTTTATAACTTTTAAAATATATAATTGTGATGTAAAATTTGAAGACTACACCTGTTATATAAAACTTGAAATTAATTGTCTGTTATTTTCCATGACTGTGGAAGAAAATTACAACATTCTCAGCCATGACTTCTAAGTATGATGTCCTTAAAAGAACAGTCTACACTCATGAACTCAATTTTCTTTTCATTCACTCTTGATCTCACACCAGTAAGTCTTCAGTTTCAGTACTCCTCCAACGTTGTTTTTCCTCAAGATTATCGCTAATTTTTTTCTGTAATAAATCTAGGCATTTTTTGTACACTTCATTTTATTTAATCTGTTAGCAGAATTTGAGCCAATGGAGGACATCTCCTCTCTAACAGCGTCTTCAGCTTGGCTTTCAGGACCTCACTCCCTCAGGCTTTTCCTCCTGCCTTTCTAATCCATTCATCATGGCCTCTTTTGCTTGCTCCTCCTTATCTTTCTCCATTTGGACATTGTTTTTTCCCAGGGCTCAGTCCTCAGTCTTCTCTCTCGTGACTTTTTCTTTTTTTGAGACAGAGTTTCACTCTGTCACCCAGGCTGGAGTTCAGTGGTGTGATCTCGGTTCACTGCAACCTCCACCTCCTGGGTTCAAGTGATTCTCCTGCCTCAGCCTCCTGAGTAGCTGGCATTATAGGTTCATGCCACCATGCTTGGCTAATTTTTGTATTTTTAGTAGAGACAACATTTCCCCATGTTGGCCAGCCTGGTCTCAAACTCCTGACCTCAGGTGATCTGTCTTCCTTGGCCTCACAAAGTGTTGGGATTACAGGCATGAGCCACTGCACCCAGCCCCTCGTGACTTTTCTACCGTGTATATGCTAGTGATTTCCAAATGTATGTCTCTGGCTTAGATCTCTCTCCCTAATTCCAGATTTCCATATGAGCCTGCCTACTTGACATCTCTATTTGGTTAGCTATTGGGTATCACACACTTGTCAGACCCAAATTGGGCTACTGATGGCCTTCCTGAAATCTACCCCTCATGTAGTCTTTCCTACTTTGGTTAAGGGCAACTCTTCCAGTTGCTCTGCCAAAAATCTCGTTGTCATTCTTGACTCATCTCTCTCTCTCTGACACCTTACATCTATTCTCTCAGTAAATCTTGTCAGGTCTACCTGAGGATATGTCCAGAAGCCAGTCATATCTTCTACATCTGAGCCACCCTTATCTGCAGTCTACATGAGTGTCATAGACTGGTAATTGATAGTCCTGGCTTTTAAAAACTTCCCTTTTCATCAATTCTTAACTCAGTGGATGTACTTAAAATATAAGTCAAAATGTGTCAGTCCTCTGCCCCAGCCCTTCTGATTGCCTCCCATTTCACTCTGAGTATGTGTCACATTTCCTCCTAATTCTCTCCCTTGCTCTGCTTTAGCCACACTGAACTTCTTGCCATCCCTTATCTACCCCTAGTGCTTAAAGACTCCAAGCACACCTCTGTACTTGGCAGTTCCCTGTGTCTGGAATGCTTTTTCCCCAGATATCCTCCTAGCTTACTCTTTCCATTCCTTCAGTTCTTTATTTAAAACCTCCTTTCTGCTAAGAAGTAGAAAAAGGGTAAAAAGAAACACATTATGGAACAACCACTTTCTGAGGAAGAACCATGTACTACCTAGATGCATCATGCTTAAGATTCAACTGGGAGCGTACCAGGGAGGCTCTCTAGCGTAACCAAGGGAAGGTTCAATGAAACAAAGTGATTTATCATCTCTAACTTCGAACCCATTTGCATCTTGACGTCAACACTCTTAACCTTACATCATCATTTCTTAGAGTCTTTGATATACAAATAAAAGATTTTTTGTATTAGAAAGAAAAAAATCTCCTTTCTCAGCAGAGTCTTTTCTGACCATCCCAACTTTCCCACCACCCTCCCCATCAAACACATAAACATTTCATTTTCCTGCTTTAGTTTTTCTCCTCTAATGTACTGTATATTTTGTCTTCTTTGTCTGTTGTTATTGTGTGTTTATCTCACTCTCATGAATAGGGATTTTATTTTTCACTACCATATCCTCACTGCCTAGAAAAAGGCCTAGCATATTGGATGTAGCTACCTAATAAATCCTTATTAAATGAGTGAATGGAGTTTATCCTGGGTATGTTGTTTGATTGATTCTCACTTTAAAATTTTGACATGGGTCATTCTAATAGTTTTGTCTGGTAATTATACGCATTTTAAAAATTGTTTTGGCTTTTTATAATAAGCTACATTCTTTATATTAATTTTTTTTATTGAGGGAGAAAAGCCCAATATTACGGTTATTCATTATTTATTCTTTTTCTAGTAATCATAATTGTAATTATGGTAAACTGAGTCAGAGGAATTGCAAACTTTACTAGTATTTGATTTGATTTTTGAGATGGAGTCTCACTCTATCACCCAGGCTGGAGTGCAGTGGAGGGGTCTCAGTTCACTGCACCCTCCGCCTCCTGGGTTCATGTATTTCTCCTGCCTTAGCCTCCTGAGGAGCTGGGATTACAGGGGCATGCCACCACGCCTGGCTAATTTCTGTATTTTTAGTAGAGACCGGGTTTCACCTTGTTGGGCAGGCTGGTCTCGAACTCTTTACCTCAGGTGATCCACCCACTTCGGCCCTTCAAAGTGCTAGGATTACAGGCGTGAGCCTCTGCACCCGGCCACCCCCTTTTAATTTTTTTAAAAATTGGGGTGGCACATTTAATGGACTTACAAATTCTTTTCAAGGGATTATGAACCTTTGGTATTTGAAATAAAAAGACAGAGTTGGAATTTTTTTGCTTCCTATAGTAAGAGGAATACTGGTCAGGCACTGGCTATTCTGATGGAGCAGGTGCTGCTGCTTGGCTGTATTTCAGAAGCAAGCTGCTCACATCTGTATTGGTTGGTGAGCAAGACCAGTGGTCATTGATTGGTGGACTAGATTTCAAACTGGCTCTGGGTGGCTTCTTGTTACCATTGGTACAGGTCATTTCTTTCCTAAGTTAGACTCAACTTTAACTGAACATTTTCTATTTAAAAGTTGCCTTCAATTAACTATGTTCAAAATGAAACTATTTTGTATTCCAAAATTTTAGACCTCATTTCAAAATTGTGGTCATGATGAATTGGTTAATAATAGCTCTCAGGAAGATCTGTTTACATTTTTATAATACATATTTCTCTACATAATTTATTCCTTAAAATTAATTGTCTTGTTTCTGTTATTGGTATTTCTAGAAGCTTTTGCTCAAGTCCTAACATAATCTCCAGTAGGAGATTTTAGTCTCTTTGTCAGTTAATGTATGTATATGGTTGTGATATTCTCTTTTTAAATTCCTTTTCTTTTCTTGTTCACTGTCTTCTCTGTACAATAACAGTGATATTCTTATACATTTTTACCTCATTAAAAAAATTACAGTTTTCAGGTCATGTGATGCCAACATGTTTGTTCCTTTTGCTTGGTGTGTGTGCTGCTATTCAGGCTCTGTTGTGGTTCTACATGAATGGCAGCTTTTTAAAATAACTCTGTGAAGAATGACATTGGTACTTGGCTAGGAATTGTATTGGATCTGTAGACTGCTTTGGACACTATGGTCATTTTCGCAATATCAATGCTTTCAGTCCAGGAACATAGGATGTATGTTCATTTATTTGTGTCATTTCTGATTTTCTTCAGTGGTGTTTTCCAGTTATCCTTTTATAGCTGACCCACCTCCTTCGTTATGTATTTTCCTAGGTATTTTACTCTTTTGCAGCCATTGTCAAAGGGACTGGGTTCTTGATGTGACTCGCAACTTTGTTGTAGGTGGTGTATAGTGGTACTACTCATTGGTATTTGTACATTTTGTAGCCTCTGAGACTTTTCTGAATTCATTTATCAAGTCTAGGAGTGTTTTGTAGGAGTCTTTAGGGTTTTCTAAGGATAACATCATATCATTGGTGAAGAGATAATTTGACTTTCTTTTTTCCAATTTGGATGTTCTTTATTTCTCTTGCCCAATTGCTCTGCCTAGGACTTCCCAGTTTTATTCTTAACATGCATGAAATAAAAGTAAAATCAAAAGTGATTAAGGATTACTTTATTTCACATCTCTGTCGCATACACAGATAAAATTAATTCAAAGTTGTATGTTAAAAACACAATATTAGACCCTGTCTTGTTCCAAAAGGAATTTCTAAGGTGTCTATAAAATACAGAGGAATCAAGAATATAAGTGGAAAGTGTTTCCCAAAAATAAATATACAAAGTATGGGTTAACACAGGGCTTCCCAATCCCCAGGCCATGGACCAGTGCCAGTCCCTGGACTGTTAGGACCTGGGCCACAGAGCAGGAGGCTAGTGGCAGGTGAGCAAGCAAAGCTTCATCTGTTTAAGGCCACTCTCTGTCACTCACATTACTGCCTGAGCTCCTCTTCCTGTCAGATCGGTGGTGGCATTAGATTGTCATAGGAGTGTGACTCAAACCCTGTTGTAAGCTGCTTACACAGGGTATCTAGGTTGTTCACTCCTGATGAAAATCTAATGCTTTATGATCTGTCACCATCTCCTGTCACCCCCAGATGGGACCATCTAGTTGCAGGAAAACAAGCTGAGGCTCCCACTGATTCTACATTATGGTGAGCTATATAATTATTTCATTATATATAAGTAATAATAGAAATAATGTGCACAATGAATGTTATGTGCTTGAATCATCCTGCAACCATCCCCCAACTCAGGTCTACAGAAAAATTACCTTCCACAAAACCAGTCCCTGGTGCCAACATGGTTGGGGAGAGCTGGGTTAATGGATGTGAGACCCCTTTGCCTTGTCTTGGATTAATGTGCAGATATACATTGTGTGAATGACATCTGATGGCACCATGTTGCCCTGTAGATCATTTTAGGGACACTTCCAGTATTTCATGAAAATCAAAATTTCTTCTAGTGATGAACAAAATGATACCCAGAAGCAAGTTTCGGAAGAACAGAATGCTGGAATATCACAAGAAGAGATTCTGACTGGTAAACAAGAGTAGATGGAAGTGGCTGAAAAGAAAATGAATTCTGAGGTATTTTCTTTAGTCATTTTCAAATGTTTTAATATGTATATTTATTTAAAAGACAACTTTATGTATTTTGGAAAGTATAAAGGATTTTTAAATATACACACACACTCCATATATCCTTTATCATATATCTGTATATGTACATACAGGATAAAACCATGTTCTTAATTCAACTACATTTGCCTGCAACAGTCGAGTTACAACATCTTCACAATGTGCAACATCTTCACAATGGCCTCAATCCAAAGGAGAAGCATTTCATATTTTTCATAAGAATTGATGATCTTTCCAATATCAAAAATAAGTTTTGCTACTAACAACAGATTTTCAGAATGCTGGAATATCACAGAAGAGATTCTTGGACTGCAAACAAGAGTAGTATTTTTAGTATACAAAGAAAATGAATTTTATATATTTTCTTTAGTTTATTTTCATAAATGTTTTACTATGTATATTTATTTAAAAGACAAACTGTTATTTTGAAAGTAAGTAAAGAGATTTTTAAATATACACAGCTACACTATATATCCTTTATCACAGGTCTGTATATGTACATACAGGATACAAAACCATGTTCTTAATTCAACTACATTTGCCTGCAAAACAGTCGAGTTACAACATCTTCACAACAATGCAACATCTTCACAATGGCCTCAATCCAAAGTGGAGAAGCATATCACATATTTTCATAAGAATTGATGATCTTCCAATATCAAAAATAAGTTTCTAAGCACACAAATGATTTCAGCTTTGACATTCGGCTCTCATCTTTAAAAGTATTGATGGAGAAACTGTATTGGTTATTTTCACTGGACAGGAAAGTAGGAAAAAAATAGCTAATGAGGCCACATTAGGATGCTGGCCATTCTGTTTTGGAGAGAGCATTTGCTCCAAGAAGTTTCATTTCTAATGCAAAGAGTTTTACAATAAGTGCTTCGTATACATTTAGGATAATTTATTGATAAGCATTTGTTCCTGAGTAAATATTTCAGTATACCCTTATTTCACACTTTTATTACATTTACAACATTATGTAAAGAGGGAAATTAAGTTATTGTGAATTAAAAATAATCTCAATACTCTAAGAAAAGCATTGTAAGTGTTGTAATTTTTTTTTTTATTGTTATTGGTACTGAAGCCTCTAGGTAAGCGTGCGATAACGCGGCAGGTTTGTTACATGGTGTATACTTGTGCTATATATCTTAGTTACCATTTGTATTTAAAATATAAGGATTTCAGGTCATTATATTACACTCACAGCAACCGTGTGATTTTAAGTGAAGTCGCCATGCTGGAGGAAGGCATGATCTCAGCTCATCAAACAACCTCTGCTCCCTGGTGGTTCACACATGAGATTCTCCTGCCTCAGCCAGTAGCTGGTTTGCCAGGAAACACACCACCACACCCAGCTAATTTTTGTATTTTTACCGCCAGAGACAGGGTTTCACCATGCGGCCAGACTGTGATCTCAAACTCCTGACCTCATGATCTGCCCACCCCAGCCTCTGCAAAGTGCTGAAGGGATTATGGTGCAGGTGAGCCACTGCTCCTGGCTGCATTTATTTTTGACCTCTTCTTTTATGAATCATATGATCTTAAAATGAGTTCAGGTGTTGTTTGTAGAAGTGCAATGCTTAGATGCCTGTGTGTGCACAATGTGGGAAGTAGCACAAATGTGTTAAACAGTTAATAATGTAATGCAAATTTATAACTTGACTGTAAAAATATTAGAAAAGCAGTATATTGATAAATAAACTTTTTTCAGAAAAGAACCAAAAGAACTCTTTTAAGAAATTGTTTCAGTCCAAATATATGCAGCTAAGGCTCTGCTAGCAAATGGTGTGGTTGATAGGTTGTGGCTATCATATAAAACCGAATTAAAAAATATACCAAACATATTAATTCTTATACTTTATGCATCTGGCTTTTTTATAATTCAGAGAAAGTGCTTTTCCAATTCTGGAAATTCTAAAAATCCCTAGTGACTTATTTTCATGGTCTTTAAATATTTCAACTTTTGGAATGTACACATTTTTAGATTTGAAGTTTTGTCCAACTTTTTTCCAGTTAAATATCCACTATGGGAATTCCTTTTCCCTTATACAAATATAAATATCATTCTTAATTTAACAAAGGCATTAACAAGCTTGTGACCAGAGAACTCCCAGTCCTCTCTCTGCATAGGAAAAACTGACTTCTCTGGAAGGCTTTCCAGTTCCTGGCAAAATCTCTAGGGCCACTTAAATGGGCTGTCCCCCACCATTGCTTGGTTCTTAAAGGGATCAGTTGGGAATCCTTTCTCAAGCCTCTACACGACAAGACGCTTTTGTAAATGTTTCACATCACCAGATTTACATTTACCTTCACCAACCCGCAGATGTGCTTGGCTTCTGTTCCTGGAAGGGACACGCCACCGAACTGCTCTGGAGCTGGAGTTCAAATATTCATCACCGTTATTAAACCTTTTCCATAGCATGTTCTTTATTTCTGGCAGGCTCGTGGTTTGCTTGTATGTAGATGGGCTTGGAAGTGTAGATGGAGGTTTAAGGCCCTCATTAGGGTAACACTCCCTCGTCTTTCATGCTGAGATTGGCCATTTTATTTGTGTAACTCACTGTGTACAATCGTATTTGTTTTCCAGTGTCCTCAGAAGGACAGAGTGTCTGTAGAATGCCAGTAGAGACCTGTGCTTAGGAAATATTTGACCAAAAAGTCCGCCAACTCACATGGTACTTTCGCCTCCCCACAACTTGTACAGGGTTAGTCTCTGGGTATATAGGAAATGAAACCGTGCCTTTGAAAGCAGATGTTATAAACAGACCTCCTGAGAGACTCCAGGGCTGCTTTTATTCAAGCACACCAGTGTGCTTTCTTAATAAGCTCACAGAATTGAGAAAACAAGTTTGGCCCCATCTTTCTCAAAACCCCTCGTGACTTTAGACAGAAATAATAACATTGCCTGTAGTGAACACCTCTGTGCCAAGAAGTATGATGCACAGACGCGGCCTGAGCTGTAAATTCCTCGCCTCGGGTAGTCCTGCAAAGGCTATTACCTTTTGTATTTGGGAGAATTTCACTGTTTTTATGGCTGAATAGTATTCTGTATTGTGTATATATACCACACCTTCGGTCCATTCTTCTAATATTTAAGAGTACTTTTTTAGATTGGTTTCCATATCTGTGGGCTGGCTGTGAATAGTGCTGCAATAAACTTTCTGTGTGTTAATTTAAGTAAGTTTCAGATATACCCAGATTAAGTAATATTTCTGGGTATGTCTGCATACAGTAGGCTCTGGGTGATATTAGCATTTGAGGACTTTAGTACAGAGTGCCTCCCTAAAGGCGGCATCAATCTGTTACGAGGGCCTGAACAGACAAATTTGTAGTAAAGTGGAGGAATTACCCTAGTCAAAGTGCTGGTTGAAGCCGTGCAGACTTGGGCAAATGACATGTCATCCACAGTCCCTCATGTGCTGCCTTGGGTCCACATCCGTGGCCAGGACAGCAGAGGGTGGAAGAGCCCTTGTGAACTCCCACTCAGATTGACCGTCCTTTCTTGCCTGGATCCGGGATGAGGAGCTCACCCTGGGGCCTTCGCTTGGCCTCTAGGTTGGGTGATCAAGGAGGTGGTGACTGCCAGGTCACCTTGTCCTCACAACTCTCATCATCACTCTGGCCTCCGAGTCAAGTGACATCTCATTCATAAGGTGACAGAAGTCAGAGGGCAGCTGGCCCAGAGCCCCCCAGCTCCTGAGTGCGGGCCTGGGCAGTGTGTGCCACTCAGGGGCTGCCTGCTCCTCACAGCTCAGCAGGGCCTGCACTAAGCTTCAGAGGCCTCCTGAATATTGAAGGAGCCAGGGCTCTGGCTCCCTCAGCCCTGGGCTCCAGTCCCAGCTCTGGCCTCTGGGGGAGATGCCACCCAGCTCTTGGTCTCAGCGGCCACCGTCACAAAATGAGGGGCTGCATCCCAAAGTACTCTTTAGCCCTGGCTGCCATGGCTCCCGGACCAGCCGCAGCACAAGGGTTCCTCTGTGTTTTCCTGGCTGCTTTTCTACCTCTCAAGAAGTTGTTCTGCTGGGGGGTCCCTGGGAGGCTCAAGTCCCTTGGCCCCTTTATCACAGGAGATAGCTGCCGGGTTGGGTTTGACTGGGCTCCTGCCCAAGGGGCTGGCTCTGTCCTCCTGGCTTCAGAAGCAAGGTCTGTGCCTTTCTGCCCCATGGAGCCACACTGAGGTATGCGGATGGCAGCGGGTTCTCCCTCAGTGCTCCCAGCTCCCACATCTGTTTCCATCTCAACTGTCCCCTGCAAAACACAGGTGTTCTCTGTCCCCACTTCACTCTGCCACCCTCTTCTAAGCAGGCTCTGGTTCTTCTTGTTCCCCCTAAGTACTGATCACAAGGCTTCTGTGTGAATAGCCCCAGGTCTAAGAAGGACTCCACCATCCTCCTTCCAGGTATGGAGCTACCACTATTAATATCACCATGAGTCACAACCTTGTTGATGGTGACTGAGTCCTGCAGCACCCAAAGCCTCATATACGTGGCTGTAACTCAGTTGCTCCCATCCCCCTCATGCTATGTCTCTGTCCTTTCAGTACCCATGGGATCAGCCCAGGGTCTGGAATATGTCTGTTGCCTGGGACTATCTATTTTAGAAGAATACACTGAAAAAAGATGTGTGCGTAGCATCGAGGGTGGGGGTTACTTTCTGTCTGTGTGAGAGCCAAGAAGCCTCATGGTTCTGGGTGCAGTGGGGGCTCTCGGAAAGGTTCGTTGAATGCATTAATGCCTAGAGTGGATGAATGAGTGCTCTTGTGCTTTCACAGTGCAGCAGCAAGGCCTTGCATTGCGCTCCACCCAGCTTCATCTTGATCACTTGAAAGGCACTCTCTAGTCCCAGCTGCTTGTTTTGGATCCTAACCATCTCTTTCATCTGTTGACAGATTCTTATTGTCAGCATTGTGTCGGGAAGATTAGGTTTTTGAAGGGTGAAGATGTTCTCTGACATTCAGGGGTTTGGGTCTGGATGTTGCATTTGATCTTCCCCTTCCTATCCAAAACACCATATCTGTTGTCAGGCAGCTCCGTGTTTCACTCCCCACTCCACATCTGGTGGCTGTGTGACCTTGGACAAGTCACTTAACCTCTTTGAACTGCAGTGTGTTCATTTGTAAAATAGGAAAATTGAACAGTGCTACTCTGAAGAGTTGTCATGATGATAGAAATGAGGAGCACTCCTAAAGTGCTTAACACAGAGCCTGACAATGAGTTAAGACGTGATGATAATTATAGTGAGGC